GTCCTGGGCTAAATCAAGAGATGTGTGATCAGCAGGTCGAGGGAGGTGCTCCTCCCCCTCTGCTCTGCTCTCATGAGACCCAACCTGGAATACTGCATCCAGCTCTGGAGTCCTCAGCACAAGAAGGACATGGACCTGTTCGAGAGAGTCCAGAGGAGGGCCATGAAGATGATCAGAGCTGGAGCACTTCCTCTGTGAGGACAGGCTGAGAGAGCTGGGTTTGTTCAGCCTGGAGAAGAGAAGGCTCTGGACGGACCTTATAGCAGCCTTCCAGTACCTGAAGGGAGCCTACAGGAGGAATGGGGAGGGGCTTTTTACAAGGGCATGCAGTGACAGGACGAGGGGTGACGGATTTAGACTGGAACAGGGCGGCTTTAGGCTAGATATTAGAGAGAAATTATTTACTGTGAGGGTGGTGAGACACTGGAGGAGGTTGCCCAGAGAAGCTGTGGATGCCCCATCCCTGGAGGTGTTCAAGGCCAGGCTGGATGAGGCTTTGAGCAACCTGGTCTAGTGGGAGGTGTCCCTGTCCATGGCAGGGGCGGTGGGACTCGATTATCTTTAAGGTCCTTTCCAACCCAAACCATTCTATGATTCTATGATTCTAGTATGTTCAACAGAACTAAACAGTGCATCATGACAAACAGTTCAAATGTTTATCTCAGAGTTATTTTCTCCTTACTAATGCATAACATTGTAACATAAAACAAACTTATTCAAAAAGAGTACAGAGACCAAAGGTTCAAAAAAGCTGGTAATGCCTTTTAGAGCAGACAGTCTGAATCTGTCATAATCTGACAGCATGCCGTCAATCTCCTTTTAGATGATCAGTAATTAAGAGATTAACTGTGACTTCTCTATTTTTACTCTAAGGGAAACTCTACTGTTCAACACTATTGCATTCAAAAATAATGCATATTTAATTCTCAAAAGCAGACAAAGCCCAGAGGGGAGTAGCTCATTTGATACAACAGTCAGACCACATGTGCAGCTACTATAAGTAATGGACTTCATTCTTACCAAATTCAGCCTATGGAGACAGTAGAGACAGAACAAGTGTTGCTCTCAGGATGTGATTATAGCCAAAATCAGTTATCTGTTTCATTAAGGAAAACTAATTAAAAGTAATAATAATAAACTTCCATTTTAAGTATTTGGCTATGTTTACAGGACCATAGTTTTTGTTGCAACATATAACCTGAAACAATAGGTCTGACAGCCTGCATTAGGGAAATCTTAGCTTAAGTTGACCTGAAACATACAAGTCCATTGTAACTTGAAACTAGTATCCAACAAGATACCATGAAGTCACAAGCACATGAAAAAACAGCCATGCGCAAGAACATACTGTATACTGATCATGACTATATTTACTGAACCAAGCTTTAAAACAAGGACATACTAACATAGATGGAGCAAACCAAATTTAAACCATAATGCAGCAAAAATTTAATAAAACGGACTTTACTAGCTTACTGAGACTGAATCCTCTAAATTTAAAGGGCTTGTAGTAACACAGTGTAAAGGAAATATTTAAAATACGAATAACACAAGCAAAACAAATTATAAGGGAAGGTGTGAGAGGCCGTATTTTAGAAGCACACACATCCATCATGGTATCTTTCACTATCTCCCTGGTTCACAAGATCCAGTTTCCCCTGCAGCAAGCTGAGTAAATACCAGAGATACCAGATACTTGTCCTGCTTCCCTTTCAAACACTTTGCCTTGCTCGGCTTGGCAAAAAGTAACTACTCTTAAAGGTGCCGTTTCACTAGCTAGCACACAGCGTATGCTCTAGTGTAATGCACAGGAACAGACAGTAAGTTGACCAGTATGTTTCTAACTAGGGTGCCTAAGAGTACCCTATACACTACTGTACAACCGCTCCTTGGCAAGCCTTTCAAAGGCCAAAACAACGACTCTACTGATAGCAACTATGTGACTTGAACAAGGATTGGCAGGAGGAATCCCCTCCCTGTTACCCTGCAGAACAGAAGTAGGGTGTGACTTGTGAACATCCTACTCCTTTTAAATTGTTTCCAGACAACTACCAAGCATTTCTAGGCTTTGCTGAAGCTTCTTTCAAGATAAGAGAGCTGGTAAGAGTGCTTCAGGACTTCCTAGTTACTGCTTTCCCCTAGATCTAAGTGGAGCTCTGTCTCCATTGCTGCCATTTTAGTTATAAACAGACAGCTCTGTAACACATTTTGTGGTTCACATATATGGAAAGACATGTGACTTAATCCATTTAGCTGCACTGAATAGGCTATTTACTTGGCTCCTTCCCTGCCCCAATTGGAAGTTGCTTGCTAATCCCACTGCAGAATGAGAAAACCTAACCACAGCCAACCACCCTGTTTGCTGGATGAGCTGGAGAAGAAAAATCAGCTGCAGTCAGGAAGATGAAACACAGCAGGGCATCAACTGCAGCACAACAGTGCCAAAGCAAAACACGTTGAATCCTGAGGCACCTTGGAAAGTGGCAAATTACTCATGCCACAAAGTACCTAACATCTCAAGATTACACGAACAATTCACCCTTTGAATACTATTGCTGCAGAGTACGTGACTGCTGTGCTACTTCAGTTTTAAAATGCATGGTATCAGAAGATGCTTAAATGGTATCAATCGGTGGGATAAGGATTCTTACTTCATTAATGCTGACATCTGGGCTTTAACCTGGTTCCCAAACCCTACCGAACTATAGCAGGCTAAATTCCATATAATAGTAATACAATAAAGAAAAACAATAAACGAGACTATATTTTATAATTAATTTAATTTCAAAATAAATAATATTGTTCAACATGAGAGCAAAACTAGGTTTTTTACAAACTAGACTTTATGAAAAGCCTAGATGCCCCCAGATACTTTCAAATCATTACACTGTTCTGTGACGAGTTTACCAGACTTCCATGAAAGTTCATGGAAAACTAGTTTCAACAAAAAAGGAATTAAATTTTGCCTTCCCACCAGCAACCAAATGTTTTACAGTAATCACTCCAGCCTCAAGGTCCAAAGAATTTTCGGGAAAGGTAATGCTATTTCAAGCAAAATTAATTCTCACCTATAACACCACTTATGCAGAACATAGTACAAAATGTCTTCTCCATTCCGTTCCACCATGCTTCTCTTTTTACTTTTCCTCACACTCAAACCCTCACCTCCCTGTCAGGAGCATCTGTGCAATCTATCTACATATATGTGTGTCATTCAGAAATAAGAATATGAAGAAAATTAGGATCTCTAAGCAATTGATCTTTCTACTCAAAATTATTTCTGTCTCTTTCTCTCTCCTTTTTAACATCCAGCAGAAATTGTTCCCCACAAAAGTCTAAGGAGCTTGAGTTTGACTGTGTATGTGTCGAATACCAACACAAATCCTATCTGTCATCCAATCAATGTGCAACAGCAAGCATGAAGCACTGAAAAAAAATGAAGATAACATATTGCGAACTTCAGCCTTAGAAGCCTGGGAGATAAAGAGATTAGATAGATAGATAGATAGATAGATAGATAAGACAGAAACTAAATCTGTGGGTTTTGAATGGTATTCTGGTTTTAACAGGGTAAATACCATCAGCTTAAAAATGAGACATATTTGGATACAAATCCATGGACAAAGCATATGGGAGATGTAATTATGCAGCTGAAAATAGCACAAAGCATTATTAGATAAATGCCATCTAACTTCTTAGGCAAGGCTGGAGGAACTGAAGGAGCAGGGTTTGACATCTATCTTCATTTTGCATGAAGAACGAAGTTCTTCGTATCCAAACAACCTTTCCAGCTCACATAAACTTGTCGCTCTTTTATTCTAACACAACTACAGAAGAAAACAGTTTCCCAGCTATTTTTTTCCCCTACAGATCTTGTTCTAACATTGGATAAAGGCTGAGCCTCTACAGAACAGACAGGAGACTTCGAACCCAAGGAAAGGGCTCATACTTGGAAGCATTAATGAAGTTCCATGAAAACAATACAAAATTTTCTTTCTTTCACCATAAATACAGCATTCAAAAGTAGAAAGTTAACAGAAAATGTATATATCTAACACAGACGTTACCATTTGCTGAAACTAAGCAACCTTACAAAAAATTTAAAAAAAACACAACAAAACAAACAAACTGAAGAAATGCTCACAAACTATCTTCCTTACCAACTGGGGTGTGTATCCCCAGTACATCCAGCTGTGATAAGACTGTTATTTCACAAGACAATAGAGTTTAGGATGAGCTCCCTAATCAATTAAACTTTGCTCAAGAAGGTATAATGCCACTAGGAGACATCAGTCTTTAAATCTATAGTGAACTAAATTACACTGGAATTATTATGTTACTGAAGGTGACATTTAATAGGATAAGTCACTGAACCAAGGTTAGGGCCACCTGCATATGCTAGTCAACCAACAACACTGTAAGGAACACAATATCAGTCTTATTGACCAAGTTGATTTCAAATACAAGTAATTAGATTCTGCAAATCAACATTTTAGTTAATCTCATTTTAATTTCATTTCTGTTTTACCAATGCATTTCAACAGAGGTGTCTGCAGTTATTTCTCTATAAGAAGATCATTAGGTATTGTGGAGTCTACTACAATGAAGAGCTTGTGTAAAACTAAGCACTAATGAGAAGCTGAGAAAAAAACAAAACCCTATGTAGAACTCCACACACACACACAAAAAAAAAAAATCACTGATACTACATTTAAAGCATTTAAGCCAGAATTTTCAGCCAGTCAACCAGTTAAATATATATAAATACACATAATTGCAACTGTCTACAACAGTGACAATTGCTCCCTGACAAAGCTGAGTACAGACAGAGTGCTGTACTTTCTGGGCTCATTCCAAAAATAACACTTTCCAACAAAGTTCTGTAGTTAATATGAAAATTTTTACGATAAAAAGTAAGATGTTTTCATACATATCAGCCTCTTCACATGGATGGAATATTTAGTCTGTATTTATTAAACCACAGACATATGAACACCTACCCTGCATTATTACTGACTGCTGTCAGTCCCTTTACTCCAGTCTTCAGTAAGCCCCCAATGAGGTTTTCTGGAATCCCACACAATCCGAAACCTACACAAAATAAAATTGAACATGTAACACGTGTTTGAAAGACCATGTATTAATCAGAAGTCCAAGAATGTGCACTGTTTAATTAAAAATCTTTCCTGAGTAGTACAAGCTCCTCAGTTCACTAAATAAACCAACACTTCTGTAAAGAGTTGCACCCTAGTGCTGGAATCTCCCAGTCACTAGATGCTTCCCAGTTTGGATGAAAGCCCTTTAAACATCAGAGGTGTGTTCACATAGAAATGACCTTTGGAGAAGAGCTTCAGGACCATGGCTCTCCTGATATGTGTCCTAACCACTGTAGTCCTCCTCCTCTTTCTAACCAACCAAGCTTCAGTTCTTTACTGCACATAGCAATGTCAAACAGGAACACTGAGGACTTCTCCCACACAGCTTAGCCTATAATCAGGTGATAAAAATCTGGGAATCTTAACGTTCTTGGGCAGATGTGTAACTGGAAGGACCCTAACCCAGATCTCTACCCAGGCTGAAGTGCCTCAGACTCCGACCTATTACCCAAGAGCCCAGCATGCCTAAAATGAAATACCATGCGAGGCGCCTAAGTCTTAGGCCAGGCTCTAACACTAGAACTATAACCGTTTTATTCCCAACCACTTAGCCTCAGGTCTTCTTTTGTTCCAGTAAAAGCAAAAAAATTACAATAATTCTTCCTAGAAGGCATTTTGTCTCACTACACATCTCCAGTGAGGTTTCCATGTTTTAGAGTGGAAAAGGTATTCATAGAATCACAGAATCATAGAAGGGCCTGGGTTGCAAAGGACCTTAAAGATCATCTAGTTTCAACCCCCCTGCTGTGGGCAGGGTTGCCAACCACTACAGCAAGCTGCCCAGGGCCACATCCAGCCTGGCCTTGAATGCCTTCAGGGATGGGGCATCCATAACTCTCTGGGCAACCTGTTCCAGTGCCTCGTCACCCTCTGAGTGAAAAAATTCCACCTAAGATCCAACCTAAATCTCCCCTCACTTAGTTTAAAACCATTCCCCCTCGTCCTGTCACTATCAACCCCTGCGAACAGTCGCCTGTTTACAGGCTCCCTTCAAGTACTGGAAGGCCGCAATGAGGTCTCCCCGGACCCTTCTCTTCTCCAAGCTAAACAAGCCCAGTTCCCTCAACCTTTCCTCATAGGAGAGGTGCTGCAGCCCTCTGATCACCTTTATGGTCCTCCTCTGTACCCGTTCCAAGAGCTCCACGTCCTTCTTGTGCTGGGGATCCCAGGCCTGGACACAGTACTCCAGATGGAGTCTCACCTCCCTCTCCCTGCTGGCCACCCCTTTTTTAATGCAGCCCAGGACACAGTTGGCCTTCTGGGCTGCAAGCATGTCCAGCTTCTCATCCACCAGTACCCCCAAGTCCTTCTCCACAGGGCTGCTCTCAAGGAATTCTTCTCGCAGTCTATACAAGTACCTGGGATTGCCCCGGCCCAAGTGCAACACCTTGCAAAAGGTCAAGTCACAGTGAAAGTCAGTATGACACAACTTCTTGATTCTTCTGGAAATGCTGCACATAACCATTTAGTGTAACATAGATAAGTATTATCTTCACTTCCTACAGCCAGAAACAGGTTAAGTGATTTGTTCAAGGTCACAGAGACCCAGCAACTAGGCATATACAGAATACAGACAAGGCTACCTTAAAAATAATCAAATAAATTTTTTTTCTTCCCCATCTGAAATAATAATGCTAACTTAAAAAAGCCCAAATTTATTTTCTGCATTCAGACTGGCACATGTAAAGTCTAACACTTCACTAGTGGAGAAAAATACTTAATGATTTCTCTGAGGTTTTTTTCCCTCCCCGAAGAAACAAACTGGGATTTTTCTCACTGAAGGAGTCTTCCCCTCACTAGCAGAGTGTGAAATCACTTGTTTAAAATACCCACACAAGTATATGGATTTTCAAATTAGTTAATACCAAAAGAAACACTGAAACAGCAAAAAGTATTGCATTAACAGAACATGTGATTGCATCCACAAAGAATTAAAACATTTACCACCAACAAGTATAGTTGCTCCATTGGGTATATCTTTTACAGCTTCAACAGGATCAGTATAAAATTTGGTGCTGCGATGACAGCTGGTAGAAAAATAGCATCCAAAAATCTGGAACATTTAAAGAAACAAGTGAATGCATAAGAAGCATAATATAGTAGCTTGACGATGATGACCATGCCTCTGGTTAGATATGGGGGAAAATATATAACAAAAGATATTGCTACTGTAAACACTAAACACTGGGAGGATGGGGAGAGAAGGGTTCAGTTCTCCAAAACAAGGACTCTATTAGGCTCTCCATCCCCGACGTCACCCATATTTCATGACATTCATATATATTATGAAGGCTTTAGCCTTAATATGAGCTGCATCAATTTGACAATATCCAAACATTTTAAATTTTGGAATTCCATCCTAAACTGTTGACAAATTGTGCCATATTGTAAACAGACTCACAAATGCAATTCCTCAGCATGAGTTAGAGCAACCCAAAGACTGCTTTAACCTGTATATTGCTACTTGTAGCTTCAAAGATACACAGACACTAAACATAACCAGAAAGTGCTGAAGCACAGAGCCAGCATCAGCACAAAATCTGGTGGGAAGGTTCTTAGAGCTCTTGTGTTGTTGAAGAACAGCCCACAACCAGGTAGATTCCAGCAAACTGATGAAACAGGGAGGGCAAGAACGAAATCAATACAAATCCCACTCCCAAATCTAGATGTCACAGTGCAAAGCCCCTACACTGTAAGCATTGTAACTCATCCATTATATTCTTAGGCCACAGTTACCCTAACCTTTTTTTTTCTTCTTTAAGTATTTCCCACTAATACTACCATGCATTAATACTAATCAAGTACTGTCAAGGCACCAGGAGCAACTGACAATTAAGTCACTACATTAATACAGTCTCCATAAACTGAGAATATTTGGAAGTTAAAATACTACCTACTGGTGTTTCCACTTCTAATTTGACAGTAAAAGTGAGAAATCTTAAACTGGGAAAGAAGGAGAAGAATGAATAAAAAATAATAAACTAATCTACACGTTTTAAACACAATAGCCTAATTCTTCCCTAAAGAGTTGCCTTAAGATCCAGTTACAACCAGGGCAATAATTTTTGGCTCAGTTTCAAGATTACACAAACTGCCTTCTTCATAAAATTAAGGCTGCAAGTGTTTATACTGAATATTTAAGAAAACCTCTCTGAATGGGGGCTTATCTCCTCTTCAATGGAAACACTGATGTTCCTCTGCTTTCATGGGCTCAAAAAAAAAAAAAAAAATCTGTACACGGGTCATAAGGAACAGGGCCAGCTGAGAAAGAGTAAAACCTCTTCTCCATGGTCAATTATACCATGACTACTTATTTCAGAAAGTTTTTTTTCATAATGACAGTAAGACTGCATAGAGCACCTCTTCTGGTTGCATTCAGTGGGCAAGTGACAAAATGCGTATCAAGTGCTGGCAGTTTTGTGAGCCTCAGTACAACAGGGCTGAGGGTCAGGGCTGCAAGGATGTCAGGCCACTTTCGTGTCCCTGTGCCCACACATCTTAAAGTATTTTAAAAAGCCCACATGGTACCTTTAATCTTCCAAACTGCCTGTGACAGCAGGGAACAGAGCAGCATGTGTTACACGCGTGCATTTCCAGGCTGGATGCTTCTTATGAGGGTATCTGCCCTTCTATACTAAATATGTTATTTTCAGTCCCTTTCCCACCCACTCTGCCTTTTGAGAGCAATGGGTTTTCAGGGAGCTGAGGTGCCAAGGATCACCTACCCTCCTCTTCACACCAGGGCAGCAAACTAAGACCTCAGAAGATGGCTGTAATTCTAGCAGCCCAGGTTTAAGCCAAAAGTAACATGGGGACAGATAAGCTCCTAGAACGATCAACAAAAGCAAAGTAAATTTTATAGAAGATCAGAATATAACTTAGCAAAACAAAGACTGAAAGAGTGATGATTATTTGTGCATAAATGCATCAGGAAGAGTAAACATAGGCATAATAAGCATAGTATAGGAGCTGCTTCAACGAAAATAAATAAAAAAGCCACAGAAGCAATTCCGGCTGAAGAGACAAAAAACAACTTGGCTACGGCTACACGTGGGCTGGAAACCATTACATCCGTGAGGTCTGGCAGAAGCTTCCCCCAGGAAGAGGAAAGCAAGCGAGTGAGCTATCAGCAGAGCCGAACTGCAGGCGTTTGTGAAGGGCCATGCCCCGGGGCTGCCGGGGGCCGTGCCCACCGACCGGCGCCCTCCCTGCCTGCACCTGCCGCCTACCGCTGAGAAAGCCCGACGCGGTGACTGCAAGACTGACATAGACACTAACACACCGTAATTGCACTGCGATTTCAAATGCAGGGGAAATTTA